GTCTATAATAAATCAACATATAAATAAGGTGATATGGAATCTCTCCATGTCTAACATTGTAATATATCTTTTAGTGAGATTTTAATATTTTTTTTCCCAATAATTTCTCTCTTCAAATTTACACCTTTCCATTTATTGAAGAGGCCTAATAGTTTCTTCCACCAATTTGATTTTTTTAAAAAGGGGAAAAATTGATGATTCATCACTGATGAACAACTAAAACCTATGTTTTCTATCCACAATAAAGGCAACTACTGAAATAGGTTGAAATAAGGGCAATTTCTTTAAAAAAAAAGAGGGTTTTTTAATAGTACTCTTCTTATAGAGATGTAAGATTGATCATTTATTTACTTTTATCAAATATTTTATTTAAATATCTAGGAATCTAGATGAAAATTCTATCAATATGTATGATGCTGCCTAGAAAATTCTTTGTTTGAGATTCTTAAGTTGCTTTTGAGGAACATATTAGTCCAAATATATAATTTTGAACAATAATCTATATTTGTATTTACTTAGAAGTATTACAAGAAAATTGAAATAAGGTAGGTAAATGTAATAGAATAATATTAAGAGGTGAGTGTTATAAAGCCAAATTTGAAGAGAAGACTATGAAATTATCTCTTTTTTTCTCCATAAATTTACTATTTTTATGCTAATTTGAATGTCAATTCTTAAGAAAATTACATGATTTTAATGGAAGCAAAATTTAAGTTAATCCTTACGGTAATGTCTAAATCCTTATTTTGTTAATCTACTATCAAATGTATATCTTCCTTCCTTTTTCTCATAAATTTATTATTTTTATTCTTATTACTATGTCATAACTCTATAAAAGAACTCATTCGAATGGGTAATAAAGTCATAAATTTTCAATTATTATAACTAACACAAAAGAATAGCTATTAGACGGTGCTTATTTAAGGATTTTTTTTTATGAAATCAATATCTCTTTTATCAAGTTAAAATTACAAATTTACGTGTTAAAATTTGTTATCTAATTTATTTGGATTTAAAAATTTTAAAAATATCTTTAAAACTTTTTCACACCATGTGGCTAAGTTTACTAGTGTTATATATATTTTAAAAATGTTTTCGAATGAGAAATTAGTATTACCCAATTTTATTTTAAAGGGTTGATTTTTATAAATAAATATTTTTTTGTTAAAAATTATGCAATACATATTATTTTTTAATACACAAAATCAAACACTAATATTTAAAATTTACATAAAAAGGTGTTATAAATTATAACAATTAACAATTTAAAATATTAAAAAATAAAATAAAATTTGATTGATTCTCAAAAATCATATATGTCATATAAATTAGGACAAAAGGAGTAAAATATATCATCTAAAACTTACGTAAAATGTACTATAAATTGAAATAATTAACAACTTAAATATTTTAATAACCTATAAATTTTTTTAGCTAACTCTTAAAATTAGACAATAGAAGTAACATATATCATGTGAAAATTAAGTAAAATATATACTATCAAAATAATTAACTATTTCAAAAATATCATAAAAAAGTATATTAAATAGGGAATAAGATATATATCCCTGAACTATCATAAATGGTATGCATATACCCTCCGTCATACTTTAGAGACATTGGTGCCTCTGGCGTCCAAAAACTAGAGCATATATAATCTTTATACCAAAACATTTGAACTCTCAAAATTTTCTTTGCTATAATTGAAACGGAAGGAGTAACAAATATTATGTGAAAATTATATAAAAAGTAACAACTTGAAATTCCATCTGTTTCACATAAATTAGAAAAAAATAATTAAAGTAACATATATTAGGTGTGCTTTATACCGGGGCTATAACTAGGGGTGTGCATCGATCGGTTTGATTTGGTTTTATGTAGTATCGGTTCGGTTTATTGGTTTTCGGTTTTTAAATATGTTAAACCAATAACCAAACCAATAAGATATTTCTTATCGATTTTTGGTTTATTGATTTTGGTCCTTAACGGTTCGATCTTCGGTTTAACCAATAAGAAAATACTTATAAAACAAATATATGACTTTTTCTAATAAATTTGATGCGAAAACACAATAATGTAACTTTACAAATGCTCATAAAATAGAAACAATAATAATAAACATGAAAAGAACTATACAAGCATAACAAAGAGAAAATAAGAGGAATAGGGTTCTTATTTTAGATTTTAACGTTATTTATAATGTGAAATTGTGAACTCAAAGTCATTGTGAAGTGTGAATTGAAGGCTAAAGGACAAAGATAGTGACTACTAAGGTATTGAGATTAATATATAATATTTATGTACAAGTCAAGTAGTAAATTACTAGTCTTAATGGGTTATCGGTTTACCCAATCACCCAATATTAAAAATCAATACCGAACCGATAACCCAATAATTTTTTTTATAAAACCATTAAAAAATCGTTAACCCAATAACAATAAATCAATAACACTTTTTTCGTTTCGGTTTATCGGTCGGTTCGATTTTTGCACACCCCTAGCTATAACTTCAGCCAGGGGTATTTTGGTCTTTTAAAGCTCAGGGTTCATTCTTCTATTCCTTTTCAGTTCTCACTCCATTAGCATTTTTACATCGCTTTCATCAGATTTGTTTGGTTTTTATCTCTTCCCAGGTATGTATGTATCTTTTGTGTGTGTATATATATATGTGTGTGTGTGTTCGTAAATGGAACTGAATTTGGGGATAACTATAATTTTGAGGTTTTGAGGCCTAAACGGCTTTAGGGCAGGGGCGGACCCACGTGGTGTCCAGGGGTTCACCCGAACCCCCTCGGTAAAAAATTACACGGTATATATAAGGTAAATTTTCTGCATTTCTGTAGATGCATAAATTTTGAACCCCTCAATAACAAAGAGAAACTGATGGCGCAGTGACAAGTACCCCTGAAATTAAGTTGTATGTCACTGGTTCAAATCCCAGTGAAAGTATTTTAATTTTTTCTTATTCAGTTTCAGTTTTTTTAGGTTTTTTTTTAACTAGTGAATTTGACCGCGCTTCGCGCGGTTTATAAGAAAATCAATAAATTGAAAATAATATTTTTATAATTTCACATAGCGTAAATAAATTTTAATTTTGTTATATTGATTAAAACACAAAAATAATATTTTTATTGGTGTTAGGTGAACCACATTTATAAATAAGTAAATTTGCATTTCAAATAAAAGAAAAATGAAATAAAACTAAAATCATAAAAACACAAACACACAACATATTTTTTTAACAAAGTGAAGTACATATGACATTATTATGCATATTTGATATAGTACATATGACATTATTATGCATATTTGATATAGGCTTTGAGACAATATATTCAAAAGAGCACGAAATCTTTTCTTCAAAAAATTGATGAATGTACAATAATGTAGTTGTCTAAACAATGAAACTTACTCATGGCATCTCTATGAAAAACTTGCATAATTATGCTTTCTAAACTCATTTAGCACACTTCTATGGTGACACTAGAGATAATGATTGATCTTCTAATTTAGGAATAACTTCACCAAATAAGAGGAATCCTGTAATTGCCATACAAACATCTAATGTAACAAAATATTGTGAAAATTTATGATTACTATCGAGATAAATTCTCAACTCCTACTTATACGTGAATCCCTAGTTTTCCCCCACAAATTTTCTCATCAAGCATCTCAATTTGTTCTTTGTCTCATGGATGACTTTGTAGTCCACATTAGTTAGTCCACTTGCCAAGCACATTCTATCAACAACAAAAAAAAAAACTTCAACATACATAATTTCATAATACATTATGAGAATTAAGGTGATCAAGAAGTCAAATAAGAGATTGAACATACCAAAGAAAATTTAATTAGTGTCATATGAGTTTCATATGTGAAAAGTGAAAAATTATAAATCAATTCACCTTTTGTCTTGAAATAAATCACATTCCACATTCTTCAAATCTTATTCCTTATCATCAAATCATGTCTATTATAATGACCAACTCTGAAAAAAGGAAAAGAAAAATATGTTAGACTAACAATCTAGTTAAAAACAAATATAGTAAGCAAGCTACTACATGAAGAAAAAAAAATACACTTCCAATCTATATATAGTACAAAAATATAGAATATGAAAAGACACAAAATTAATTAAAATCTAATTACTCAAAGATTAATACATACTAATTAATATAATTGAAAATAAAGAAACTGTTGATGAAAAAACGGATAGGAAGAAAACTTACAGCTAATCATTAGTTTCACAATTAAGAAAATTAAAATCTGTTAATTAGTGCTAATTTTTAGTCATTAGTTATTTTTCGTATAAGAAAACTTACGCTAATCAAATTAATGTTCCTTTTTGGTTAGTTTTAGTTACCTCCAATTTTAGCAGTAATTTAATTTAATTAAATTAAGCAAAATTCACGTTCTTTTTTAAGTTAATGCTATACTCAAATTAACATTATTTTTTTGGTTAATTTTAGTTACTGTCGTTTAATTAAATTAAGCAAAATTCACGTTCCTTTTTAAGTTAATGCTATACTCAAATTAACATTATTTTTTGGTTGATTTTAGTTACTGTCGATTTAGCAGTAACTTAATCAAATTAAACTAAGCAAAATTAACGTTTCCTTTTAGTTATTGTACATTTATAGTCATTGTATCATTACTTTTGGAAGAAATAAATGTTATGAAGGCTCATAATGAGGGAATAGAATAAATTTTTAAACATATTTTTGAACAGAAAATGAAGGTAAAAATTGAAAATTTTGAAAGTATAAAAAAATAGTGATACTGGTCATTGAAGCATGCCACATCAGCGAGGATATTCAGTTTTATATATATATATATATATATATATTTCAATTCTGTTTTTTTAGTTTTTTTTTTTTACTTTCAAAAATGTGCTAAAAGTTTGGTTTTAAACCCAAAAGAATTCAAGGTTTCCATTTGAAAAGGCTTATTTACACGTTTATACTTTAATTTTTCGAACGCTCTGAACAAAAATCCTGCGTCCGCCATTGCTTTAGGGGTTGAGCTGTCTTTGTACAGAAGTGTGTTTGTTTAGCTGATACAATGATGAACTTTTTTAATGGTAAAAAGATTGGAAATGTGAATTTGGGTTTTCATAGTTTTGTGCCTATTTCTTGATATATGTAGGAAAAATTGGTTCTTGATCATTCAAATGGTAGCCAGAAGTGTATTTGTTTAGATGATATGTTGTGTATGTAACCTGTTTGCTGAAATGTCTATGAAAGAATTTTAGTTTATTTCATTGTTAAAGTTTTACAATCAGTCAATACATTAACTATATGTGAGTTATCAATTTTGTGTCTATTTTCTTGATATATGTAGGAAAAATCGATTCTTTATTGTTCAATTAGTTTGGATTTCAATGGTACCTAGAAGTGTGTTTGTTTAGATTAGATGATATGTTGTGTATATAACCTGTTTGATGAAAGAATTTGGGTTTATTTCATTGTTAATTCTTACAATCAGTTAATGAAGTGACTATAGGTGAGTTATCATGTTAGTCAGACTTTCATTTTTTCTTTTGTTTATTGTTTAGAAGTGGCTAAGGAGTATGAACACACTGCATGAACAAGTTATATGAAAGGTTACCTGAGTTGTGCATCAAATTTGGGCTAACATGTATATGCCTGTCCCATATATGTTACCATTTCAAAGGAGGAAAACTCATTTTGGACTAGAAAGCTGCTTTGTTATAATGTTGGTGTTGTTTTGTTATTTTGTGTGTGTTCTTGTATATGGCCATGACAGAAAAAATTTCAAATGTGTTTTTGTGCATGTTTTGATATATGGTACACCTGATTTGGAATGAAAAATGATAATTGACTAAGCAGTAAAATTTCTCTGGCCATCAACGCTCTAAGTAACTTTATTTGTATCTGCATAATATTGATGCCATGCGAGCTAAACCTAGTATTTAAGTGAAGGGTAAAAGGGTGTGCCTGTTATGCCGAGTTTCATAGGTCATAAGGGTTGGCATTAGACAGATTTCGCGGTCATAAAAAATTGTCAGGAGATGAGTTTAAATGGTGTAATATGGTCATGGAGGATTCATTTATTCGACCTCAATTTGTTGTTAGTTGTTATTGGTGCTGTATCACTACTCGAGTAGCCCCTCAAGCCACTGCAAGCCTACCCAAACTGAAGATTCTTTATAAGTTTAAACGTATCTGTGATAATAATTGTTAGTTTTTCAGCCGTTTAGCTCTATATATTAGGAAAACTAAAACTTCACTCTCTTTTCAGTTGTCTCTTACCAAATTAGCTAATGGGTGACAAGAAGAAGGCTGGTGCTCTATTCGTGAGGCTTGTTTCAACTGCTGGAACTGGATTTTTCTATGTGAAGAAGAAGACCAAAACACTTGTAACGAATCAGACGAAGCTTGAATTTAGAAAGTTTGATCCTCGTGTGAATTGTCATGTTCTGTTCAAGGAAGAAAAGATGAAGTGATGCAAACGCCAAACTTTTTGCCAAATCCTCTTTTTAACGGTTAGCTTTCATTTTTGCAGCAGGCAGTTGTGAAATTAGACAATAGGACCTTTTGCTCACTTGTGCTACCACAATAAAGTTTGTTTGTTTAGTTCTGTCAATGCAATTCTCTGAAATCGTTCGTGATCATGTTGAATGAAACATATATAGTTGTAGAAGAGTGAATTTTTGAACAGACGATTCCATCAATTTACATGTAAGATTCTTTAGGTCGATTTACAAGGTTTTATCTATGGCAATCAACATAGTTTGAACCCGTAACGTACACCTAACTTACATATTATTACATTTTTTCCTCTGAATCTCAGGGCATGGTAGCTAATGGAAGACCAATATATCAAAATAACATATCATAAAATTAATACTACACAACCAACACATATTTTACCATTGAGCACTTTAAAAAGATGGTTCTCACAAGATTTGTGCATCTCAATCCATCTAATGAAAACTATATATATTACATACCAAACAATCAGAAGCAAATTGTCTCAAAACACAAGTGAAAACTAACAATAATTACAAGAGGAAAAGGCAAACTGACAGTTACACCAACATATTCAGTGTAATTCCACAAGTGGGGTTAAGGGATGATGCTATGTAGAGATAGAGAGACTCCTTTTGATAACCGAACTAACAATTGCAAAGTGAAATTTTACATGTCTCTAAGCAATGAGGAAAGGCAAAATAGTCAGCATGAAGGAATCATAAGTGAATGTTGCTGAGCCAGAGTATGCAATATCCTTCTCCTTGAATTTCTCTGTCAGTCCCTGCACATATACATGACTTTCTGAGAATCGAATGACATGACATGTTTAAGATCAGAAGATACATCTCTTAGTTTAAGACAACAAGAATTAAAAATCTTCTTTGCGAGATGAACATTCTCATTTTCCCCTCAATGAACCTTTCTTATAGGAATAACATGACACGTTCAAGAGCAGAAGATATAAAGAGTACTTTTAATATATTATGTACACCTTTTGCGTCTCTACCTCGGGGTATGGTTTGCATACACTTTACCCTCCTCAAACAACACATATGGGATTATACTAGATATGTTGTTATATAAGTATAAACCCTTCAGTTTAAGACGACAATATTCTAATGTTTCTTTACGATATTAAAGTTTGAGACCAACATCTTCATTTCACCCTCAATGAACCTTTCTTATAAGAATGACATGGCATATTTAACATCAAAAGATATAAAGGATATTTTTGATATAATATACGATCTTAAAGTATGTAACCAGTCAAACTAAGACACATATGATAAAACGGACGGGGGGCAAAGAAGCTTACCTTGACAGTGAGGCAGCACCTAAATCAAGCCCATGAAACAAAAGGAGAAAACACTAAAGTTAGTGAAAGTAGAAGAAAAATAATGTCAGGGAAGTGATAAATTGTTGGGAAAACATACTCAATGAAGTTATCATATTCAATGGCCTTAATCATTCCACCAGTTTTGTCAAACTTGGAAACCAGCAACTCCAAAACAGGACCATATACAGCATATCCCAGGCTATGTAAGGCCTCTCTTAATTCAGAGGAATCAATTTTTCCACTCCTATCCTTGTCAAATCTTTCAAAAATTGCCTACATATATTACAAGTTTTTCAATAAGATATAGAAACACATCTCTCAAATTTGAGAAAAAGTAAATGCACAAAGTCATGTTGCTCGTGACTCTCAAAAATGTTGTCGCAGTCATGTCGATCCTCAAAATATACACTACTTTTGGAGGATCGGACATGCATCCGTCGATATTTTTAAGAGTCTGAGCAACATAGATCCAAAGGTGGCTATGAGAAATTCAACTTCAACTTACCCTCCAGTTTTGAAGACTAGAGAAGACTGCAGTGAATTCTTTAGGACCTGCTTCCATAAAAAAGGTTGGATAATATGAAAAGAGTTAATAGTAAAAAAACACCTAAACTATCATCTTTTCAGTTTTTGCTAGTTCCATAGCTCAACTATCATTGTTCTATTTAACTACCTAAACTATCACCATTTTGCAAATTTCATACCTCAACTATCCATTGTTCTATTTAAGATAAAAGGCCCAAAATAGTCCCTCATCTTTGTGTTAAAACCCAAAGTCATCCTTGAGTTTTAGTCCCTCATGTTTGCAATATTGGTGCATTTTTTGTCCTCCTTCAAAATTTTGCCTAATGTTTTTTAACATTGATTTTATTCATAATTTATGTATGGAATGTTTAATCGTCATTTTATATATTTAGTAGAAATAATAACTCCATGTGAGAGATTGTGAGAAGAAAAACACCATGGTTTGTTTAGTAGAAATCATATTGCAGGTAAAGTCGAGAGGTTCATCACGATGATTTCACGTGCAGTAGTACAAACTTTTCTTTTCTTGCAATGTTATACGTTAAAATGTTCTTAGTTTAGCTGTAGTAATATTTATACTGAACAGAACAAGGTATTCTTCTTCTCACCTTCTCTCACTTAGAGTTATTATTTCTACTAAATATATAATAAGATGATGTCACATTCCTTACATAAAATTATGAACAAAATTAATGTTAAAAAATAGGCAAAAGTTTAGGGGAGGACCAAAAGTGCACCAATATTGCAAACATGAGGGACTATTAGTGTTCCATGTGAAAACTCAATGATGATTTTAAGTCTTAACCCAAAGATGAGGGACTATTTTGGGCCTTCTCTCTTCTATTTAACTACCTAACCTATCACTAGGGGTGTCAATGGTACGGTTCGGTCAATTATTTTTTTTAAAAAATTATACCATCCCAATTTTTCAGGTATTTTATAATATATAACCAAAATTAGATTTTTAAAAATAATCTCAATCATATCGGTTTCTTTCGATACCGGTACGGTTCGGTTAATTTTCGGTTTTTATTACTTTTAAAATATCACCTCAAAATAGACTACTATTAAAATATTTCTTTCACAATTATGTTCTTGAAAAAACACTTTAATTCTTCACCAAGAAGACAAGAATGTAAAATTTATTGCCGTATTGTTTGATCTTAAATATTTAATAGGAGTGTTTGCATAGGTTTTGTTGTATTGTTTGATAGAGTATCTATTATAGTATCTTTTAATTTTAAACCTAATTAAGTAAAGGCTAATTCAAGAGCAAAGACCCAAAGTCGTCTAGTCATCAGAGGCCTAGGACCTAGGTTATATTATATTTGAAAAATGTTATAAAACATATTTATATATTAAATTTAACATATTATTAATATACAAAATATATTTACATACATGTTAAGGTTATTTGGTTCGGTTTGAGATTTTTTTGGTTTTTTACATAAATTAAAATATCCATCCCAATTGTTCGGGACGGTTATACACTTAAATAAAAATTCACGATTTTATTGAAAAAAATAACATAAATCGATTCGGTTCGATTAGGTTCGGTCAGCTTTTCATATTCTTTTGACACCCCTACCTATCACCATTTTGCAAGTTTCATACCTCAATTATCCATTGTTCTATTTACCTACCTAAACTATCACTATTTCTCAAGTTCCATACCTCAACTATCACTCCTTTTGTATTAAATCACACCTCGATGCTGAGTTGACCTACACACATCTATTGGCGATTGGGAATAACATTTGGTCTACACTCTTCTGTTGGCTTCATCACTCTCATTGACTATGCTTTTCAAACTATTTTGAAATGCTTTTACTTGAGCCGATCGAGAGTCTATCGGACTCAACCCCTCTACCTTCCAAGGTAGGGTTAAGGTCGATATACACACTTCCTTTTCTAGGCCCCACTTGTATGATTATACTGAGTATATTGTGGTTATTGTATCAACCTCAATGATTATTTTACATAAAAAAGAAATACAACTACTTAGTATTAACAAAAAAATAAAGTTTTTTAACAGTGGAAGAAATGTCAGCCAGAGCAGTTGACCTAAAAAATGAAATGTTGATTAACAAATAATTAAAAATCCTCCACTCTAATTCTATCTATAAGTATTTTAGTCCACACGCGTTTATAAGACCCCACTAGTGGCCTTTTTTGCATTAAATTAATAAGCAAACCTTAATTACAAAGTTTAATCCTAAACACACGTTCTTCAACTGCCCAAATCAACCAAAATACTTCACGGTCGGTCTCATATTAGTTGTGACATATTTCTTTCGTATTTTACTTTAAAAACAATAAATAAAATTATTTTTTACTACTTTACTATTGTCTTTCTCCAATAAATCACAATTTATTTAAGAACAAGATTAAGCTGGTCTTATTTTAAAAATATTTAATACTAACCATTAAATGGGACAAAAAATAATAATTTCATCTTAGAATTAGTAAAACGAAGTAAATTGGTAGAAGATTGTTAAATATTTGATAGATACACGACAATTTTGAATCTATATATTTTGAATCATTTTCTCACAACATATTTATAATCTTTCATTAACAAAAAATATTAAGTAATTAAAATCACATGATGTTTTTGTCTTTAATAGATTTATTTTTTTGGTTAATTTTTTACATGACCAAGTCAGCTTGTGTCCAACTCAATTAATTTCATTCTATATCCACTAACAACAAATGGGGGAAAATATATTAAAATTTGAACCTACATCATGTTCTCAAGTCACGTCATTAATTTTTTTTTAAAATTTGTAAACAAATTAGTAGAAAGAAGAAGAATTTACCGATTTTTCTGATATTGGTATTGGTGAAGAGATACATAAGAAGATGAACAGTTCTCAATCCAAAGCTTTGATTATACGAAGAAAGTGCCTTCTGCAATTCCTTATCATCAATAAACCCACTACCATCCTGATCCGCCATTTGAAAGCAAGACATCACATTCGGGTCGGTTCCGGGTGGAAAAATCGACGGCATCAGTGACGAAAACGGATTCGATCCGTAAGGACCTGGGTAACCGCCGGAAGATGGGGTATTGTCCTTCGGAGGTTTATTTAGGTCACCGTAGGGTGAGCTGTGGACTTGTTGTGGTGGTGGAGCACCGTAGGGTACTGGAGCTGAACCGCCATATGGAGCGGAGGAGTACGGTTGAGATTGTGGTGGTTGGTAGCCGTAACCATAGCCGGAGGGATTGTGAGGGTAATCGGACATATTTTTGTTTCGCCGGAGAAGTTTCAAATTTCTGTGAAGTGATTTTGGGTAAAATGGCGGATTACACCTTGTTTGGATGATTAAATATGAAATCTATTTTGATTGCTACTTTGTGATAAAAATATGCTACTGTATATAATGAAGGAAAAAATATTATTTTTATGTAACTATCAAATTGGTGTAATTATAAATAACATACTCCTAATGAAAAGTCTCATTTTATTTTACAGCTAAATTGGTGTTGGCTACGTTGTTATCTTCTTTTTCTTCATCTTGATTTTACTTTTTACAATTATGTTTTATATATTAACTAGGTAAATTATTCGTGCTTCGCACAGATTTAAACTATTTTATTAAGCTTAAACTATTTAAATTCACTAATATTCATATCTTCGATACATATACTATATTGTGAAGAACATTTTATTTAAGGCAAAGTGTTCCTCTGAAATCTTAAAGTGCTAGATTTTTTAATTTTTGTTTTTGTTATACAAAAATTATGACTCATAGAAAGATTTTAAGTATAAGAAAGAAGTCTATGAAAATGTCCATAGAAATAGTTGGTCAGAAGTAATGAAATTTTCTAAATTCTAAAAAGTTATGAAGAACAATATCAGACTTAAAGAAGAGACCAAAAAGCCTCGAACAACAATACTCCCACGTAAAGTGAAACATCACGTCCATAGAAGAACATAATTAAATAAACTCAAATGGAAGACCTTCAGCTCCTTACAAAAACATCCATCAATCTGGTTTTATTATAGTATGACGTATCATGTGTATGTTAAAAATGACCCTAAAATTATTAGTATCATAAATGTTTTTCCTCATTGTCTTAGAATAGTCATTACTATTGCTTATGTTTCATACCACCGGCCCCAACTTATTTGGAATTGAGCCATAGTTATTGTTATGGTTATAGTATGCAGATACAAAGAATTAATACAATTATGAACCAAGCAATATGTGGCATATGAATGAAACTGTTCACAACTGAATATTCTAAATCAGAATTTCAACACATAACATATTAAAATCTCACAGCATAATTTTGTAAGCACTTGAACTCACAAATATCCACAAATAATAATAAAGACAAAAAGGCATGTTGCTTAACATATTTTCCAAAAAAGATAGTTTATCGGGTTGTATCCAAGTTTACAGTTCACAATTTAATTGAAATAATCCAAAAGAAAGAGTTGTTACTTCTTTATAAAATTAAACAAAAAACTTTATCGAAATAAAGAGTTATTACTACAGTAAAAATGATCTTTAACGACAATTAATAGCTTAATTGTCGCTAAATATGTATTTTTAGAGGCATCTGCTACTCTCTGTAAATGTCCCTAAAGTTTACAGCAACATTGAATCTAATGACAATTAATTAATGTCGATAAAGGCTCTAGCACACTTCGTTAATGTGCATATTTATTGTCGATAAAAATTATTTTTGTTATATTGTATTTTGGACATTTATTAGTTTCAATAAAACTGGATCTCTTATTAGTTATTATGCCCAAAAAGAAGAGACGAAGAAATATGATAAATTACTTAACTTGCGACAAAAGAAGTGGACTAATTGTGTCTATACTAATATTCTAGGAAGAGTGCAAAGACATACGAATTGTTTGTACCTAAGAAAAAACAGTCAAAATAATATACTAATTGTGGCAAGCAAGAGAGCAATATGTTTGGTTATTTTAACAAACAATCACATATTTGTTGTGTGCTATCAAATATAGCACAACTCACAAGCAATTTTCCCAAAAGGTATATGAAAAAACCTGTAGAACGGGACAAAATAGAAGATAAATTTTCAATTATCCCCACTGAAATTTTTAACAGAGTTCAAAAAAATCACCAAAATAGCAAATAGAAATTGCAATAGATACATGAATCGCTAATTAAGCTTCATGAAATATGAGGAAGAAAACTTTGAGGAAAGAAACACACTTCATAAGAAGTTTAATTAATTTATTTGAATTTGACTCTCCTATAGAAAAAAAGCATAGAAATAATAGTGGCAGAAATAAAATTTTTGTTTACTAAAGAACCAAATGTAATGAATTCAACCATTTCAACAACGTTATGAGTTGTGGAATGAAAGGTGCAAGAGTAGTAATGTCGCATTGCAATCAAAATCAATTTTCTTTATTTAAATGAAAACCTATAGAAAGGGACAAAGAAAAGATTAATTTTCAATCATCTTTGCTAAAATTTTAAACAGAGTTAAAAAAAAAAGTCAGCAAAATAGCAAAAATAAATTGTCATAATTACATGATCACTATGACTTATAGTAAAGACTAAGCTCCATGAAGTAGGAGAAAGAAAACTTTGAGGAATGAAACAAACTTCATAAGAAGCTTAATTAATGTATTTGAATTCGACTTCCCTGGGAAAAAACCTACAAATAAGTGACAGAAAATTCCTCTATTTATAGACAACAAATGGTAGTGTAAACAAATATTTATTGTGCTTTATTGAAAAAATCACAACTCATTGGAAAAGTTACAACCTTTCGGAAAGGTTATAACCTTTCATAAAAGTCACAACTTTTCATAAAATTCACAACTTTTGATATAAAAGTTACAACTCTTTATAAAAGTCACAACTTTTTATAAAAGTTGCAACTTTTCATAAAAGCCACAACGTTTCATGAAAGGGAAAGACTAGTTTTGAAAATAAATAAATTTAAAGGAAATTCTGGCTTGTGGTGACGCCACCCTAGGTATATATCCTTATTTACCAAAAATATAAAACCACTTCCATATATACATAGCAAAATTTGTTCTTATTCCTTTTATATGCTGATAAACTTACACACATCTCAACTAATTTACAATTTACCCGTCAAAACTCCAAGGTAATGGCAAAAATAAAGAAAATAAAACCTTTTTTTTTTTGGTTAAATTTTCCAACAGCTCCACTAGGTGCCAAACTAATAAAAGCTTCATCTTTGGGGAAAAAATGTAACTTGGCAGAATGTCCAGGGGTAAACCGGTCATTAAGATAGAATTTGTGTCTTGTTTAGCAGGATCAGGTCACCAATCGGTGACATAGCTTAAAGACCGAATCCATTTGATTTCTAAAAAGGATTACTAATCCTTTGACTCTTTTCGAGGAATCCTTCATCTTCAATCTTTTCCACCTTGGTTTCATATGAGCGGATTGAGAAATAGAACCATCTAATCTAATTCTTTCTCAATAGCCACGAGATGATCATCAGGGCTGGTAGGCACTACAGAAGATGCATGCATACCTTTTACCATCTGGGATGTGATTCTCCATAGGTTCTCCAATACTCTTGTCCATAGTGCCTACTACTACTTTTACCAAATGGAGAACTGTAAAAGTTAGATTGTCTTCTAGACCAGTTCGTCCTCTCAAATGGAGAAGAATAAGAATCAGAAGGTCTGCAAGAACCGCTGTTTCTCGCGCTTTCCCTTTGAACATCCCTTATTTCTTCTTCTAAATCATGTTTTGCACGCTGCAGCACAGAAATAATACCAAGGTTAGTAACTTACCTACACACGAGAAACAATAAACTCTGTCCCAATTTCATTTGTCCCCAAAACATACATCTTTCCTAAAATGGCCAAGTTTACATTTGTCCCCAAAACATACATCTTTCATTTGTCCCCAATGGTATCAAACTTACGATTGATGGTGCATGAAGCATGTAAGGCAAACACACAGCTGGAGCTAATATGGAAGACTCCCGGAACAAGATTTTTACCAGTAGATGAAAGCTATTTCTCTCTCCACCAAAACCGTACAGGTTCTAATACCATATGAAAAACTAGGGGGGAGGGGAGGGGGGGGTGGGGATTTCTTATGAATATGTTAGAGCATCATACAGTTGGCTTCACTTAGGAGCTTTGGCAATGCAGTAAGTTCCCTTAACAGTTAACGATCCTGTTGAATATTTTACAGAACATTTCATAGATTCTCTTTTTTTTACAACATAAATCATAATCATCAAGAATATTCTACCGGATGTTAAAGTCTAAATCTGCATGACATACACATGCAGCTTGCAAAAATCATTAAGATGACAGTGCTGGAGAAGCATATGATCAATTGTTTGAGCAGAAAGGATGAAAATTTAATCACGTGTTAGTGTACCTTGTCGGAATTTGAGAGAACTGCATACGCTTCTCCAATCAACTTGAACAGCCTATCAGCATCATTGCGGACAGTATCAGAGATCTCTTTCCACAACCCTCCATCATCCACTGCATCACTCCTTGCCAAAATTTGACCCGCCTACATAAACAATATAATGATTAATGAGTACACGATCAGTATCAACTATTAATTCAACCTCTGAACTCTAAAAGGCTTGCGACTTCGACCTTGTCAGGATGATGTCTGAGGGCTGCTTTCCTATATGCCTTCTTGATGTCAGATTCTGTATCAGATGACTTGATTCCCCTGCGAAAGAGAATATAACATCACCAATATATCAAATGCATAAGAATATTTCACAAATTTTCGGGGAGCAAATATTACAAGAGGTATACACTGGCTCTAGCTATACAACACTGGAGTATCATCTACCAGATGCAAGGTCTTCAGGTCAGAAACATTGACCACGTGAATCTGGTAGATTTCAATGTAGAACAACCAGTTTTTCAACTTCAAATAGTCAATTTTTAACAGAGGAAATTTCTTCACAGAAACTGAGGTAATACACTAATACTACATCAAATGCAAGAAGTAATGCACACTTTGTATCAGAGATGTACGGCACCAACCATATAAAGCAGAACATGCATTTTCAGACTAGATACAAACATGCAGGTAGCCAGTAGGTATTTGCTCTATGGTACAAAGGTCTGTTTCTTATTGCATAAAATAGCATCTTTATGACCATCACAAAAATGTTTATCACAACTGTTGAATATTTGCTTTAGAATTGTAACGTTTTTACTGCAGTAGTTTTATTAAAATAGACCTAGTCAACTAGTTAGCTCTTTTAATTAGGAGTTAATTCTATTTGAATTTTGAATAAAGAGTATTTTATTGACCTTAGGAGTTTGGCAATTTTCAGCAGATCTTTTTGCTTAATTTTAGGTTTAGAAGTTATTTATTTTATTATAAATTGTATTCATAGACAGT